TTATCAATCCGCCAATCTATTTGTTTATCCATCCGTTCTAATTTCTTTATCCATCCAATGATTAATTTATTCATCCATCTTAAATAATTGTTTATCCATCAAAATTATGTTTATCCATCTATTTGCTCATCCATGTCTATTTGTTTATCCATCCATCTTATTTGTTTATCCATCCGTCTAATTTCTTTATCCATCTATCTAATGTGTTTATCCATTTATCTGTTTGTTCACCCATCAATCAATTTGTATTATCCTTCCATCAAAATTATTTGTTTATCCATCCGTCTAATTTCTTTATCCATCCATCTAATGTGTTTATCCATTTATCTGTTTGTTCACCCATCAATCAATTTGTATATCCTTCCATCAATTATTTGTTTATCCATCCATTTATTATTGTATCCATCAGTCTATTTGTTTATCCATAAATAATTGTGTATCCATCCAACTTATTATTGATATCCATCAAAATATATTGTTTATCCATCCGTCTTATTTGATTATCCATAAATCTATTTTGTTTATCCATCAAAATTATTTGTATCCATCCATCTATTATTTGATTACCCATCAGTCTATGTTTATCCATCCATCCATTGATTTGATCCACCCTCTAGTTATTTGTTATCCATCCCTCTAGTTATTGTTTATCCATCCCTCTAGTTATTGTATCCATCCCTCTAGTGTGTTTATCCATCCATCTATCTATTTGCTTATCCATCAATCTATCTATTTGCTTATCCATCCCTCTAGTTATGTGTTTATCCATCCATCTATCTATTTGCTTATCCTCAATCTTTTTTATCCATCCATCGCCTCGCAGTCTGAAGCCCCGACGACAGGAGACAACACAGCAGTGAATGGGTTAACGATGGCGTGTAGACAGCAGGGAGGTGGTCTGCCTGCTCGCGTTACTCTGACGGCGGAGACTTCGGCACATGGCGAGGTAGGCGCTGCTCGGTAACTTATTCCAATACCTCGTGCGCGTATTGTCTGTCTCTGAATCTTTGTCTGTCTGTCTGTCTACCTCTCCTGTCTGTTTCTTTCTGTTCTATCTTTTTGGCTCTCTTTTATCTCTCTCTCTCTCTCTCTTTCTGGTCATTGTGCTTTGTTTATTTTCGTTGTTTTTCTAGTTCCCCTCCCCCCCGAGTATCTTTTTATTCATTTTTTATGCAATAACTTCATACCTTACGGTTGAACCTGCCTTGTGTCTGAATGCAAAAGGACGTTTTCTCCTTCATATCAAACTTTATCTCTTTTCATCTTCAACACTTGGCCACTTGTTCTTCCTTTCCTTCCCTTCTTTTGCATCTTTATTCATTTTTTCTCCACGATGTTTTCATATCTCAGGAGAAAAAACATGCCCTGTGCCCGAATACATAAGGAAGTTTTCCCTCCGGGTTGAGCCAGACCAGGGCGACCTCGGGATGACACTGCCGTTGGTGATATGAAGGTCATCTGTACGAACTACCCGGAGGTAATGTGAGGTCCTTTTTCTGTCCGTACGAATGGATAGTGTACTTTAAAGGACTTAGAGGATTCCTTTTCGGTTTTTGGTAGGGATTCTCCTTTTTCTCTCTTTAAATTCTGGGAATATTGTAGGGTGGACTTTTCTTGGATTCAGAAGATGAGGAAAGAATGAAAGGAAAATGTAACTCGTTTTAGAGTAAATCCTCTAATCTAACACTAATTCCCAACACGTTTTAGTGAATGGACACGTATCACATGAAATTTGCTCTTCCTTCTTGTCCAGAACGAGATCGAGGGCGAGGGCGAGGAATGGGGATTCTGGGGGCCATGGGCGGAATGTCCCCCCGATACGGCGGTGTGTGCTGCAGACACGCCTTGAACCCTACAAGGGCGTGATGGACGACGATACCGCCCTCAATGACATCCGGGTCTTCTGTTGCCCTTTGGTTTGGTGATGACCTAGTACGACCTTCTTGGGTGACCTAACCCCTCCCCTGATGAGCTACTGGAGTAACTGTGTTGTCTGATTGACTTGTTTTTTGAGCTGTGTGCGATTTTCTGGATGAACTATAACTCTCTTGCGCGTGTGACAGCAACCAGGATGTAATATCATCTAACATTCGAAGTTACCCCAACCTGTATGGTGGCTATTCCCAACTTGCTGGTCACACAAGGGTGTTCATATCGCTGAACACGCTCGATTTTAGGCAAGTCAGGTTCTTAATCTCGACAAACTCCCCTTTTGAAACTCCGCGCGTGTAAGGAATGTCATCATTCTTTACACGGCATAGATATAATAACCAAAATTTAGAAATGTATGAGGATATGAAATACAATATCCATATTAGAAGTATTGCTTAGAATATATGATAGATATTACATGAGAACTTGTGTCAATTCCAAATGACCCAGACGGTGTTATCCATCCACCAGCAAAGTTACTGCACAAAGTGGTTTATGCCAATTTAGATCCTCTTTTTCAGTTTTGATGTATTTTAGTATCTTCTTTTATTACAAGCATCATTATTTG